TGATCGAGCTCATTCTCCGATCGTACTTTTCGGGGCATCTTCGTTTTCCACTTCGGCTTAAAAACTTTTTTTTTTTTTTTTCCTCTTATTTTTTATTACAGTAGGCCCTATGCCTTAACTGAAATCTCTATTAGTAAATTTTGTCGATTTTTTAAAAAAATATCTTCTTCAATAATTTCCCCCTGATAAAGCCGATTTGAAGACACCATTAAACAAAAAATTTGCCCAGCTAGGAGAAGAATATAATAGAAGAATGTATTGACTCTTGCGACATATAATGATACATAATAAGGAATACAAACCCGCCCCTCCCCCCACCCCCCCCCCCCCCACTCCGTGAACGGAGGGATACGTACGATGCGTGTTACCAAAATGTCCGGTAAAGGGGTACTTTTCACGCACCAAAGTCCGGCTCGTACATACACACAAAAGACTTTACACACCGGACTTAGGGGGTGTTTTCAACAGGAGGGAACATGTATATGCGTACTCTAAATAACACTGAGTGGAGGGGTCGGAATACAAACATAGCATAATACAAAGAATACGAAATACAACAAAACAACAATTCAAATCAAAGTACAGTGGCATAATACGGGGGGGGGGGGGGTACTCACATATTAGGACATACGGGGTGTGCCGCTCTAATGGGCGACTTTTTCACACAAAAAAACCTAAACATGGGTCCCACTTTTAACAAAAATACCATTAAAAATGGGTCCGTTTTTTCAAAATTTCCAAAAATTGCTAAATTTTCGGGTGTTTGCACGAAAACACCCGAAAATTGTGGAAAATAGTTTTTTTAGAGAAAAATGACCCCAAATAATGGGTAGGGTTTCGAGGCTTGAGCGGCAAACCCCGTCCAACCCCCCCCCCCTTTCCGGGGGGGGGGGGGGGGCGTAATGAGCAAAAGCTTTCGGGGGTCATGCAGAACAAAATCCTTATTTCCCCCCAAGTAGCATAATGCAGGGTCTTCCAAAATAGGGAGGGGGCACCAACAAAAAAAGGGCACTTTCTGGAAAAGGGGGCTCCAAAACCTACACCTTTTTTTAGACATTGGTATATATACCCCTACATCGTCATGATTGTGATTACACTACCAGGGATGATATTAATATTAGTTTCTTTCGTTACGTGGTACAAGATAACGCTTAATTAAGCAACATAGGCTACTTTGCACTTAGGTGTGATAGTTTGAATATTAATTTTCGAGTGATCGAGCAAAATTTGTAAGATTTGTTAGGTCCGATTGCACAAAATTACATCTTATAAAGAAGACCACAAAAACTCTGATGAGTTTTAAGCACAATCTAATAAAGAAAGACTAAAAAGTTTTTGTTTAAAGTAACATAATTATAAGTATAACATTTATAAATGCGAGCGAGCTCTATAGAGAAAATTGAAAAAAGGGGCTCTAAGACGTCTTGAATTAGGAGTGTATATGTTATGGAGAAAGGAAAAGTAGGCACTTATTAAAAGGGAAAAGGACAGTTATTAGAAAAGAAAAGGGGCACTTAATTGCCCTACACTGTCGCTCATATAGTTGGAATATTTTTTTATTATTAAGCGGCTGGCTGAGTCGTTGCGAAATTTTGGCTACAGCTCTGCAAATATGTGTCATTTATTGATTATACTTATGATTAATGATAAAACATCGATAATTTCGGTTTCATTTTTTCTGGGACGCACTGTAAAAATATATTGATATCCTCGCGCGGCGATGATTACGCAATACAAGTTTTGCGGCGAGCGTGACGTTGCTCCAATGCCTAGGTCACATTTGCTCTACGGCTAGGAATCTAGGATAGTACGGCGGCCGTACGCCCCCGAAATCGAGAGATACTTGCGGCGGCCGCAGAAGCTGCGGTGGCCTCAGGGAGTCAGCGTCGCCCTAGGGCGTATCAGTGGTGGATCCAGGGGGGCCCGGGGGCCCGCCCCCCCCCCCTGGAAAAAAAGGAGGAAGAAAAAAAAGAAGGAAAAAAAAGGGAACAAAAAGAAGGAGAAAAAAGAAGGAAAAAAAAAAAGAACAAAAAGAAGGAAAAAAAGGGATAAAAAGAGAAAGAGAGAGAGAGAAGGAAAAGATTTAAGGGAAAGAGGAGAGAAAAGGAAAGAAAGGAGAGGAAGAAGAAAAGAAAATTTAATTACATTTTTAGGAGAATGGATATCGTCACAAAGCAATAAAATTGTTCTACATTCCATTCCAGACATTTAAGTCTTGATAGATTTTTTTATAGCCTGTTTTATGTCTTTTTTTTCATGGAAAACGGTTGGGAAAATTCAAAAATGGTTGGGAAAATTTACTGTTAATCACTGTTAGAGGGGACACCCTTTCAAAGAAAACCATATATATCTTCGTGGTTTGAGAATTTAATGGGTCACTTTTTCTTCAAAAAAAAAAAAAAAAAAAAGTCGAAAACGGTACAACGAATCGTCTTCTTTCTCTAATGATTTTATGAAACGTAAAAGCTTCGCCGCTTTGCGGAGGAGGGAGGGGGAAAATCGCACCTTCCTGCACCCCCCCCCCCATTACGTCAATGCTGGTCACAGGCGCGTACGCAGGGGAAGGGGGGGGGGGGGTTAAACCCCCCTTGAGTTTTTTTATGTGTATGTTTTGTGTATGTGTTTTGGGTCGGAAACCCCCCCCCCCTTTTGATTTTGATTTTGATTTTTTTTAAAATAATTTTAATAAAACAATTATAAAAAAAAAATTATTAAAAAAAAAAATTCCTTATAGATGACCTAAAAAGGATAACCTTACCCCTCCCCCCCCCCTCGGAATTTCGGGACCCCCCCCCCCCCCCCAAAAAAAAAAAATGTCCTCTTACACCCCCCCCCCCCCCCCGCTTATTCAGCGGCTAGCTGAGTCATTGCGATTTCTTTTGGGACCCATAATTTCAAATTTGCCCCCCCCCCCCCCCCCTAAGAAATCCTGGATCCGCGCCTGGGGCGTATATATCCCTACCATTACAGGCCGTACGGGTCGCCGTGGGATTATTATACGGAGTTATAACTGTTTTCATTTCTAGTTTTGCCGTAGCGATTAGTACGCCGTAGCCACGCCGTAGAGCGGTTCCCGGCGACCGTATGTCGGGCGTACAGTAGCCTTGCGTTTTATATACTGTAGCTTAAGTCTGGCTGCACGGTCGACGTATGGTCCCACTTCGGCCGCCATGCGGTCACCTAGCGGCTACCTTGCGTCTGCCGTAGTATTTGTCAAAAAATACGGCCGCCGGCCGCAGAGACATGGTCGACCTACTAAGGCGACCGCCGGTGCGTTATCACTTCAAGGCCGTACGGCTGTCGCAGATTTTGTGTCTCGATCCACAAATTCAAAATAAGCCTACGCGCCGCGCGGCTACCCTAGCACCGCGGGCCCTAACATAATTATGTGACCGCTACTGTATGTGACCGTAGGACTCATGCTGCGGCAGTCCTTTGAGTGCTATTGGCCCTGGATATTTTAGACCGCACGGCCGCCGCGGCAAATGTGACTAACTACACAAGGAATTTTGTTAAAGTTTTTTTCATGGAAACAAAGTTGATATTTGTATACTACTTTTACCAGCTCTACTGACCACGTCAAAAAAGAATCCAAAGGAGGAGTAGTACTAGGAGGAGGAAGAAAAAGAAGGGGGGGGGGCGGGTACTCACATATTAAGATATACAGGGGTGTGCTGCTTTAAAGGGACTTGGTAACATTGTTCAGATGAGAGATAGTGGTGCTAAGGTAGTGACTTCAATGCTAGATGTACAATTAAAGATAATCTGAAAATTTGAGTGAACACGGACCATTATTCATGGTACAAATAGGGAACAACTGATCTGATCGATTCCTTAATTCTCCCAACTATATTATTACAATTTAATTACATTTTTAGGAGAATGGATATCGTCACAAAGCAATAAAATGGTTCTACATTCCATTCCAGACATTTAAGTGTTGATAGATTTTTTTTATAGCCTGTTTTATGTCTTTTTTTTTCATGGAAAACGGTTGGGAAAATTTACTGTTAATCACTGTTAGAGGGGACACCCTTTCAAAGAAAACCATAGATATCTTTGTGGTTTGAGAATTTAATGGGTCACTTTTTCTCAAAAAATCCCTAAACATCTAAGTCCGTTTTTTTTTAAAAGTTGGAAAAATGGGCTATACTTCGTGAAAAATTCCCTCCTAATGACCTTAAAAATGGGTAGAGGTTTCGAGGCTTCCGCGGCTCACCCTCGTCTAAACCAATTCTGAGTACCCCCCAAGAAGGGAAAAGAAGTATTGTCATTGTCCTGATGATTCAGCAGGGAGAGAGGTCTTAATCCTTGGTATTATCTAACATAGGTGCCACCCGGCCCTCCTCCCCCCCCCCCCCCCCCCCCCCCCCATCCTCTCAACATATTCCTCGTTTCCCCTCAATGGGCAGGCTAACATCAAGTCACTGTAAGAAATGTTTTTCATACATCAAACATATTTGTCAAGTGTTTTACAATAATCATACATCATAAACTAATAATGGTGAGGTGTATGAGCCCAAACACATCCATGTAGATAATGCAAGGGTTCAATTCAAGATGCTTGATATAATAGTATTTTTCTATTCAAAATCAATCGCAAGAAAGTTGCAATCAATTGCAAATCCCCCAAATCAAGCGCAAGTCTTGCAATTAATTGCAAATGTTCGCAACTCAACTTTCTTGCAATGCCCCATCAGTAAGACAGAGAGAGAGAAAGAGGGAGTAAGAGAGAGAGAGAGAGAGAGAGAGATTGGGGGGGGGGGGTAGGGGGAGATTAAAAGCTGTAATTTAATTTAATTGTTAAAAATTTAATCCCAACAAAAGCCTAGAAAATAGGAGATTAGTGGGGCGTTGCAAGAAAGTTGAGTTGTAATCGATTGCAAATATCATTTTTCAATCAATCGCAACTTTCTTGCAATGCCCCATTATAATGTTTACATATGCATTTTTCAGATCTCTTATCAATGATCGACTAAAAACGAAAAAACAAACACACATTATTTATATTTACAATTTATTTCACAATTCTTTTCATACATAACACTCATGCTAGGAGCACACAAAGTGTACACTTTCAATATCTTGCCTGGCCAGCTGGTTATGAAACTGATTATAGATGGAATTATAATGGCAATATTTTCCTACTGATTACATCATTTCTGTGTCATACATGTACTAAGACTAGGTAAGAATTATGAGCATTTTACTGCCTCAAAGCATGGATAAATATTGTAATAATTCTTGGATACATTTGTGAGTACATTAATCAGAGTACAGGCAATATGGAAAAATTTACAAATTTGTTAACAAGTTTTGCATGACGCTATTTAACAAAAGGCATTTGGACATAATAGTAAGAAAAAAGGAGCACTTATTGACCAAATTATTTTTATTTACTTTTCAGTTAACATTAAATGTTGACTCTTGTAAGAGAGTAGCAACTGTATACTAACACAATATGAACAATAGGAAAAGAATTATATTATAATTAATTCTAAAAATAGCACCGAATCATTGCATTTGGATTTCTGTCAATATAAAATGGTTGATATTGTGACGCCCATGTTCGGATGAGGATATATGTTACTATTACGATGCAATAACCAATGTGTTGTACCGGTAGTTAGAATTTGTTTGGCTTATTAATAGCAATATAAATACATCAAATCAAAAGAAGAAAAATAGGAATTTGGATGACATCTTAAAAAAATATTAGTGGCTATCATCTTACATGACAAATAATACAAATTAGTTTGGAAATAGTTAAATAACAGACTTACTGCATCAATGGCATGCCTTCTTTATATAGGCTTAAAAATGGTTCATTGCCGAGACAAGAACGCACTTGTTACACTACTTGGGAGTAATATAAATACTCCATAGCATCAATGAAATACATGCGTCAAGATGTGATCATGACTTAATGGTACAATGTATAATGAATATATTGTTAAAATCAGGAGTAACAAGATATCTACTTAGCACATTTAATTTTAAAAAGAGGAAATATCTGAAATGTACACTACATAAACAATCAACAAGTAAACATGACAATGAATAATACTGATAAATACACAAAAACCTCAACAGTTCACCACCAGTGCACATTGCAAGAGCATAGAAACAATTTGGGAAAAACTTGTACAATGATCAACAAAAAGTGAAAAATCCTATACTTTCTTCTCCATGTAGCTATATTTTTACATCAACTCGTTAACTAAGCTTAGGAGCATTCTGAATATAAGTATGATTGAATGTATGAATGCATAATGGACTTGCTTTACATCAATAAACCAATTTTGTTAATATATTCATGAAATTGATAGATTGATTTAATTCACCTGCTATTAAAACAAAGTCCTATCAAAACTTCATAAAATCCGGGATTATCTTACTTGTTCTAATTTACTATAAATGGTTTCATGTACTTGTATTTTTTTTCCCTTTTCTTGAAACCATCCAAATAAGTAATAAACAGAAAGGCGTGAATGAATCTCTAAACTGAAACATTAATAATAATAATGATAAACTATGACTCTGGGTACCTATTGTCACAGATCTTTGGTCCAGTGATCACAGGACACCAGGCAGTGCAGCGAAGCAAACGTGCGACTCAGACTGATCACTTAGCTTGAGAAAGTCCACAGGAGTGGACGAAAGCTTGCATAAAAAATTTAAGGTTGGTAGAAGCTTAAAACTACATGTTAAAATAATATTGGTTTCTTAATTCTCATGTAGTGCTTTAACATCAACCAATAATTATCAATGCGTTTACAGTATTAGTATTACCCCGGTCACTGGATTAAATTAAGATTATAGTGCACATTCTCCACTCTCTGAGGAGCATTCCAGCTAGTCGCCTTTTCATGGGCACGCACATGCTAATCCAACCACAATGACATTCGCATCCTACTGGGTAGCCGATTAACACTGGGTAGTGAGGAGCAATGTGGATAAAATGCCTTGCTCAAGATGAAATATACAACCTTTGATCCTTCATTAGAAAACTGTACTCAACAATAAAATGATTACAATGCTATTCTAACTCTTTTCAAATGCAAGACACAATATAAACTTACCACACAGAACCATCTACATTGATCACACAGAATTGCATAATCACTAATGACTAGGTTATAAATAAATTAGAGAGGAAACAAACTAAATAAAACAAAAATGGAAATAACCATGTTTTCAAAAAAACATTCATCCCCTTACAGTTTCAATTTCAATAATTTTATTCATTTATTAATTCATGAAATTATAGCATTATCCGCATTTCATTCATTCCTTGAAAGATACATTTCTAACACTTTTTTTTCTCCAAAGATTCTGAGCTTTTAATTTAAAAAAGAAACCAGCCATCAGTATGATTATGAATTCTGTGTGATCTTCATTTCAAACACATCTCAATCAATTACCTTTCACCTACAGTAACCATCAATGTACAATCTTTACAATCTTTACAAGTTTAGCTTTCACATACTAACCCATCTCCAAGAGGTAGATAATCAAATAATATCTCAGCTTTCTTCCTCAATAGGGTTACATTTTCAAATCTGATCAATTAGGAAATGGCCCCACATTTGTAATTTTCACCCTCATTGTAATTACCTGTAAAATATAATTCACAGTAGAATCTTTCAGAAGTTATTGGTATACTTTTTGAAGCACAATATATTTTGTAAAGAATTATGTACCTACTAACATTTTGTTGTGCCTAATGATCAATTAGGTTCCAATTCGGTGGAATGTCTTCCAAAAGTAATGGATAAATATAATAAAGAGGTGGAATACATTTGTCAACTGTTCCTTTGATGACCTTTTAATAAAAGAAAAACAAAATTTCTCTTAAAACAAAACAAACCATCCTATCCATCTATCTCTTCAACTTTCTGGAGCTTTCCAACTCGTGCTCAATGCATTACAAGAAACAAATTAATCAAGTCAAAAGTTTATCTACATGCTAATGTCAGACTACATGGTGCTGTAAAAATTTCAAGTTAAGAACATTGCGTTACAGATCAACTGAGCCTTCTGAATTCTACACTTGATGCAACAACCTCACTTGCCTAATCAGATAAATATGTAAAAGTAGAATTTCATGGTTTGTTGTGACATACTGGTTTATACACAGAAGCATGTGGATTTGGAAAGTTCAGACAGAATAAATGAGCCTCTACCTATGTGCGCTATCATCTTTTCAACTCACCAATAGAGAAAGTATGATGTTCTTCGATCACCTGCATAAAATATGTTGGTTGCCCTGGGCAAGTTGCTCGTACCACACGTGACTTGGGTATTCAGAGCAAGCAGCCAATGATATTAAAAGCAACTCACTATTTTTCCCCATAACGATAATATCAACTTAGAGAGGCAACACACTGGCTGCTTACGCAAAGTTCATCCTAGCTTTATACACCATTGGATATACGTTTAAAGGGGCAGATCAGCTGATGTGCTGGGAGGTGACTGGAGTGACATGCGAAGGTTGTTGGAAGGTTTCAGCAGTGATGTGACACCGAGAGCCGATGGGAAACGCTGATGGTATCGATCAAGTTTAATGTATTTGACTGTCACAAGCTTGCCTATTAGGAGAAATGATAACAAATATGTTTAAGTAAACTTTACATTTGACCAACTGGTTCATGTAAACATATTCTACCAATAATTTTTTGTTTTCAAATTGAAAAACTAAGAAATACTAGCAATAACATAAATATGCTAATTTTGACAAAAAAGTGACTTTCGAAACTGAGTGGTATAAAAGAAGATCACTTAACTCTAGTTTTGATTTGGTGTCATCTATAAAAATAAAAATAATAGCTCACTTTTATAATGCGCCTGATATTTTGTATCAAGGCCAGCACATATTAATACCCCGGTCATCGGATTTAGGCTATAAATTCAAGTTATCAAATTGGCAAAGGCGTAAAATAAATTGTTTTGCTTTATTATAGAATGTCCATATTTAGAGACAAAGAAAAAAAAAAAAACACCGTCCACTTCTAATCAAATTACATGACACCCAATACATCATTCCAACAATTTTTCTAATTTAAATGAATTCGCTGATATACAAAAGAGAGGCAAATAGAAATCCATGCCATCCCTGATGTTCACAACGAAACCATCATAAAAATAGTCATTAAACAAATTGACAGACTTTTTCCACTTTGTACTGACATATTTGTGACATGTTCTTACCATCAAACCAGCTTCCTTGAAGGCACCTGAATGCCATGCCTGCCTTCTCCGCTGATAAACACTTCACATAGACACATCCCTGTAAAGAGAAACAATGAGCATGTAATATATACACCACTAAATACCAGGATGGTTGACTGAAGTACTTTCAAAACGAAAGATATAAAAATACAAAATTTCACACAGTTGAGAAATAACCATTACATATTAATTCATGACTTTGAGATCACGACTGAGATAAGTACTAATCAATGTTAAACCGTTTCAGGGCCTTTGGTTGTCTGTCCAAGGGTCTGAATACAGTATCAGACATGAAATGAGGCAGATTAAGATGGCATGGCCATTTAGTGTTAAGAGAATGTTACATGCCGAAGACAGTGATAAATTTAAAAGTAGCATGCTCACAACCATAAGGCAAACCATAGGAAATTTAAGACAAGAAACTGGCAGAATATCTGAGACTGACAATCTCATTTATATGACCACCAGAAACTGGACTGATTGATGAGGATTAGAACCTATACATCCTGCCCTCTAACAGTTCAGAGGGGTGTTTCACAAAGAGACAAGGTTCAACTTATCTCTAAGTTGGACTTAAAAATTATAAAAATAATGTGTAAAATTTATTTCAAAAGGCATAAAATGTTGATTCAAATCAATCATATTTTCTATTACCAAGGAGATTTGATGTTCTTGATTTGGAACTTATAAAAAGTCTAAAATACTTGAATTTTCGCTTTTGAATACCGTATATTTTCTTTTAAGGCTACAAATGGCTCTCCATAATGTTTAATTTCAACTTAGAGTTCAATTCGACTTAGGATCTTTGTGAAACACCCCCCTGTTTCCACAGATGATTGTATAAATCATCTCCTTGAATTGATAAAAAAAAAGTGAAAAGAAGTAACCATAGTTACCTCTCTAGAGTTCTTGTCGACAACAATGTGCATGATACCACTGTCCTCCCCACATCTCTCTAAGATGGCATCCTGTATGGTCATATGCCAGTTGATTCCAGACTCCCTGTGACAAAGGAAACATTAGAATTGACAGGGTTGTCATGATTCAATAATACTGCTAGTAACTCATAAATATATATTTGAAAATGCAAATGAAACTTATACACTGACCAATCAACGCAAGTTCAGAAAACAAAACATGACAATGAAAGGTTCAAAGATTTTGGTGAGACATATTTAAAGCCCCACTGCATAACATATAGCTACTTGCGCCCTCTACATAGCAAACAATGCCTAATTGGTGACTGTTGGTCCCCCATGTTTCACTTTTTCTTATATTAATTGAGAGCTGATTTGATGAGATAACCACCTGTCAGTGACCATGCAGGGAGGTCTAATCCCTCCTGGCCAAACTAGTGCAGATAGGCTTTAAGAGAGTAAATTTATGGAACATAGAAACACAAGAAGATGACATGCATGAAAATGACTCCAACTTTTAGCTGATGCAGTAATATAATTTGTCCAAAATGCCTTGTTCAATGAGTTCTGCAATTGGTAATACTGAATTTCTAGAAATATTCAAAGAATTTAGGACGATTTATAGATTATTTCTTTAAATAACTTCAGATGTTTAAAAACTCCATTTACTGGTAACAGCTTGTATTTATTTGTACCAGTATGCTTATTTTATTATACAATATCTGCAATTTTCTAAAGTCAATGCAAAATAAATACTGCATGTGTGATATTGACCTCAGGAACTATACTTTATTTTTGCGTCTGGTACTAATAACACGATTGACCTCCAATTATGTTTTTCCTGCTTGCTAAATGCTTTAGCCTTTCAAATTTTACACAAATATTATGCTCGTTTAGATATCAGTGATCTCAATTTGAGTATATTTCATTTGCAAAGAGCCTGGAAAATCTTGTACAATTAAATATGCTTTTGAGACCACATGTATTGAAAGACCTCCTCTCTATAAAGACTATATTTTCTGTCTCCCAAACAATGTTTCTCATTGGAATAAGTTAAGGTAAACCCGACAATAATGACAAACTTGCTACAAAGAACACTTTTTGTCTTTTTCGTCTCTTAGGCAGTCTTTCTGTACAGGCAGTTAACTTAACTGTTTCAATTTCTAGACCTACTGAAAGAAGAGTGCTACTTACAATGTAGGATCAAACATGTTTCTGACTTTGAGGCACGGGGTGTAGTTATAGGCACTCGCTTTCACTGCACTATCCAGGTTCGCAAAAGCTGAAAGTGAAAAAAAAGTCACGTTAAAGTTGGCAATGACTGAATAACTTGTCAGCCAACAAACATACATAAAGCAAGAGACCTAATACATGTGTTAGACAACACGTTTAAATCTTTTGTTTGTATAATCGTTTTATATTGTGCTAACACAAGCCCATGCATCATGTCCTAAATACATGGCACATATGACATTAGTTCTGACTAGCATGAAAGTAACACTTCTTAAACTGAAATTTCCAGAGGAATTTGTCTTAACACTACTTGACAGATACAGCAATAACTATTCATCACCATTACAATTTATAACATCACGATCACTATCCGATTCATAATCATCACCATCATAAGCACTGATGCCATCATCATTACAAACTCTATCTACAATCATCATCAATGTCATCAAAATTATTATCATAACCAATTTATCTAAAACCATCTATATCATAATAGTTTCTGGCATAAAATACTAACCTGTTCCTTGCCACACCTTTGCTCTCTTGGGATTCATATCCTGGAAGAAAATTAAGGATGGGTTAACTATTAAATATGGAACAAATCGTATCCTGTTGGTGATTTTCGGTAAATTGACACAAATTGACTTTTAAACTTGAACTTATCTCCCAATAATATTGAAGGGCGAAAAGCTATATAACACAAAGACTTGTGATAAACTTTGGGATTGTAGGTATCAAGCTTGATAAAATCTACAATTAATGTCTAACTTGGGGTGGGAAGGGAAGAAGGGGAAAGGAGGGGGGGGGGGGGGGGAGGAGGAGATGACTACCCAAATCATTTAAGGAATTCTTCCAACAAGGTACCAATCTGTTAAAATTTGATCAAGAGATGATTGCTGCTTCAAGATTCAATTCCTCAACTCCACAACTACCAGTCAAGTACACCAATCACTTCTTCAATGTACCCCTCAAATTGGCAACACTCTAAAGCCAAAGAAAAATTGCATTGAGAGTACTTGGTCTACTTACTCTGTCAGTAATGGGTACAAACGATGTGACAGCTACAGCGGGAGACGGCTGAACCCATCTCCATACAGCAAACTCTTCACCTGCAACCTGCTGGGTCTCTACTCTCACACGAGATTCATTGACGTTGAGGAACTGCACTGCTTTCTGCCACAAGTGCTGCTTCTTGTGTCTGTAGCGTGTAAACGCAACAAGAAAATCAGTACTTGGGACTAAAATCTTTACTCAATTTCCTAAATCAATTCAATAAATTGAATTGATTAACACATTTACAAAGGAAATATTTTAAAAGTGCAAGAAGCTGTATCTCTACTCTCATTTATTTTCTGGAACTGCACTGCCTTCTGCTATAGATGCTGTTCTTATGTCTACAAACATAAACATGACAATCACATGAAGAATATGTTATTTTGCCCACGGGCTGCAAGTGATTTGAAGTTTATTATTGCAGTTTGAGAGATTCAACATTTGGAACAAGCCTTTATTTATAATTACTACTTAAAATCAATGTCAATATAACATTACTACATCTCTCCAAAAAAAAATCAAAAATTTCAAAGTAAACTTGGAGATTCGAAAGTCAAGAATATTTATAATGTTGTTCAGAATGTTATTCCAATGTCGCAGTGTCGCAGTGTCGAATTATGGGTATTCAAAATCTATTAGTCATGCAAACAATAGACAAGAAATTTGAGCTTTGATTTTTGTTATCAAGATGTGATCTTTGTCTTTGTAATCAAATTTGAACAGAGAACAAAACAAAACAAAGGGGAACAAGATTTTTCACTGCATGTCTCTATGAGCACGTCTCTCTGACTCATTGAAAGTGAGAGAAGCTTACCTATCAGCCGGGGGTATAAGCGTATCTCTGACATGAGGGATGGCCAGGTATGGTGTCAAACTCTTGTCTTGGTAACAGGCTTGCTGGTGGTTAGCGAGGACCTCTGCAATGTACAAAACATTCAAACAGGCTTGAAATGAAATTACAAAATACATGTAGTAATAATTTCTTCTAAACTAGGAAATGAGGTGTTGTAAGAGAGAGAGAGAGAAAATGGAAAAATAATGCTTCTGGCACCCTGGTACCACCTTTTGGTGGGCTGATGCATAAAAAAGAATGAATGCAAAGGAGAACCTACCAATAATCTTTTCTACAAGCTGAGTGACTTCTAGCCGCTCCTGTTCTTTCCTGTGCATCTGGTACCTGAAAAGGTAAAATCCTGGCCAGAGTACCAAGAGAGCTGTACAGGAAAAAAAAATCAAGAAATTAATTCAAGTAATACAAACATTTGTTAAATTTCAATGTGACTTATCTACCACCACAGACTTTCCAAAGCACAATGATACATTATGTAATAATTGTGATTGCTTTTCCAGCAATTTGTTTAAACTAACCCTTCCAAATCTTACACTGTGTAGACTCAAATTTATTTCCCCCTATTTATCATCTGGTAACTACCATGAGACCTTGTAGAATTGACATGTACTTACAAAGGTTCTATGACGCATGCTCTAGCATCAGTTGCTCCAGAGTAAAATATCCTGCACTGATAACCAAAGTCCAAACCCTAACCTATCTCAAATTGACATAGAAGCCAATCACAGCCATATTACCTGAAATCTTTGTTGCAAAATTATTTTGTAGCAAATGTTGGAACACCCTAATTAAGCATGACCCCTTAAAGAATTTAGTTTGCAGGAAAAGATCCTTGTAAATGTTTTATGAATTGTCTGGACTGTGAGTCTATGCAGACTATACAGTCTACAGCATCCCATAGGCTCTGTACTCCCCAGGGAGTGGAGAATGTGCATACATTGTGTGCGGGAAAGCCTGAATCCGATGACCGGGGAAATAATATATCTGTAAAGCGCTTAGACATATCGTTGTTTAAATGTATTGGGCGCTACACAAAAGCGGAATATAATTATTATAGCTCATTAGACACATTTACAGACTGACAGAGCCGGACACAGTTGGGCTATGCTCACGACTTCATCGACTTGTGCATTAGTGTCAACTTAGAGTTTGTGCCTGCTGACTATGAAGGATTGACATGTACTTACAGATAACAAGGATGGTAGCCCAGAAGAGAAGTCTCAGTGCTGTGGTCTTGACCTGACAGAATACAGTCATGTAGTCATGAGAGGATTCCAGCCATTTCACATTGTCCTCATACTTGTACTCGGTCAGGTGTTCTTTGTTCGCATTGAACAGCCTGCAGGAACACAAGTATTATTGTGACATATGATAGGATTATTATTGGTGTTCATGCTTTTATTTTATGCACTTGTCTATGAACATCATTAATAAAAAAAATTGATTGTGATGTTTTGTAGATAATGGGTAAAAAATAGAAAACTAGGAAATAACACTTTCAAGCTCCCTTGCCACATTTATCCAAACAAATATTATTGTATAATTACATATCAACTACCGGATAATATAAAACTAAGAACTAAATAATAAACTTATTTGTGTTGTTTCTCACCAACTTCCCCAATCAAGGGGGCACACTAGTCTGTCTGGGTGGTTGTCCATCATGTTTGGTTTACTAAAGTTTAATGCTATGTTTTTATCTGACTGCTAAGAAGGCATGTGTATGTTTATAAGTAAATAGCCAGGGGGAACCGAGGCTTAATTCCTCTACAAGGGACTTGGTAACTTACTATTAATTGGGCACTAGTGAAACTACTTGGTTTCAAACCCAACCTCCTGGTTAAGAGACCACTTCTCTACCAATGAACAGGGGCACCTCCAGTAAGACATTTAATTTAATATTTAAAGATATTTAACTGCTATCTCGCATCAAGATCTATATTCATACACATGTACACTACTATGCAATTTATCATAACTTCAAATCCTTGGAAACTACCAACATTCCTCTTGTCTGTAATATTTAACATAACCTACTGACCTTATTCCCCACTGTGGATTAGAGATGATCAGCTGGAGTGTTCTAGGCATGTTCTTTGCAACCCAGTATGGATTATTTCTTGGTTTCTGTTTTTGCTACAGAGAAGGAAAAGAGAAAAGAATATTTCTTACACTTGTATCAACATTTATTTTTAATCATGTCTTTAATAAACAATTACAAAATTTATTTTAGTGCACCCCATCATTAATGGAATCATCTAGTTTGTGACTGTCTTGCACAACTGAAATATCCATGACTAGAAGTAATGTATTTATTTGTGGAATTAAAGATTATAACCAATCCTTTTGTGAATTTATTCATTTGTATATTCATCTGGCTAATCGTCAACTGCAATGACATAAGAATAATAGATATAATCAGTATGAATAGTAACTCATATTGCACAATACTCACAAGTTCAGGATTTTCATTCAGATATATCTTGGCTTCCTCCATCGTCATATTCTTCACAGGGGATTTACCACACAGATAGTCACCTAATTTTATAAAAAGGAAAAGAAAATAAGGAAGAACATTAAAAATCAATATGAAATAGAAACACAACTATCAATTGAATATCAAATACAATTGTAATTATTTGTAATATTAATAAGTAAAGACAAAAGCCTATTAATACTCTTTATCACCTAACATGACAGTCTGTACAAAGTCCAGTTCCAATATTAACTACTGGTATCATTTTCGTTCTTCTGTAACACTCTCACAAGTGAAGTTGAATATCATATGGCAAATATAACAAAGTAAGGCAAACTAAAACTGTGATATTGATTACTATTCTTTGTATCTTATGGAATTGAAGATTAAGATTTGAAAATTGTCTTGTGATCTGCTACCACAAGACAGCAATGTGACAGTACGACATGTGTTATTATATTTAGCTAACCAATACTTTTGTTGTGTGCAGTGACACATATTTTACAACCCTCATGACAATCGGAAAACAAAACATGTAATTAAAAAAAAACTCATTACAACTACTTTCATTCCAATTTGATGTACAGTATGCGACTAGAACTCAAAAGTAGACACACAGATTCTGAAACTACTAAACACATAAATAATAAATGTTGCACGAGCACAAGTCCAATCATCAAAATTTTAACATTGAGTGTTGCCTATCGAGTCTAGTACTTTATGGTACTGATTATATTTTGGTAGCTTACCTGTCATTTCACTTAGTCTTTCATGCAAGGCCTGTCCCATCAACAATGGTAGCTCATCACCAGAGAAATTCTGAAATCAAGAAAACAAACAATCTTAATTTACATCCCCAAAGTAGACAGCATGAGAAGGATGAATAATATACCTGTACATGTAATATGAAATGAATCCATAACAAACAAGAGTTGAGTTCTGACCAAGGTTGAATTCTGACCAAGATACAAGACTTCTAAAACCCATGAGCTATCCTATCCTTATTTTCAAAATTAGACACTAAACATTAATTTCAATTAAGATATTAATAAAGAGAAATTGAGACCTGTGCCTTTATTCGGAGGGCTACATAATTGCTGTCAAAGAAGTCGTCTAATACTTTTTGTGAAAACAGTAGATGTCTAATGAAATAATTAATGAATGTAAATATTGAAGTGATGCATCATTTATAGAGGATGATTTCTTTACTTTCATATATGAATCAATTTTGTAAGAAAAATATAAAGTTTGAACATTGACCCATGTGACATTACTGAAATCTACTTCGCGTAATTCCCTGAAATGTATTTAAGTGAGCCGTAAGTTTCAATGAAATTTTCAAATGTTATTTTATCCAATTTAAATATGTGTACTCACCACATCATCTTGACCTGTAATGTCAGCAACTGCATATGAAAAAGAAGAAGAAAAAAAAAACATTGTAAAATATACTGACTTTTACAGCTTTACCTGGGAAGATTAAATTGATTCTCTATGGTACTACCCCTGGATACACTCATGCATATTCAAATTCTAACAGTGATTACAAAATGGAGAATTTGAACCTATGAACATGTATGCGTGTCAAGAAATGTTATCTTTCAGTACATGTATTGTATTTACATGGAAATGGGTGAAGTGCAGATTAGGGAGATAAAAACTATGAAGTAAACTATCTTATCATCCCTGGTAATAATGATGACTAATGACTTTAGTTGTGAATGTACATGTAGTTTTTTATCAGAAGCAAGCCAGTAAGACTATACTTGACTTACTAGTGCCTCTATGATTAAAAAGTAGTTCTTTTCTCATAACGTACACTGGCCTGATCAGGAAGAATCTTGTAGAAATCTGTCTTGCTGAACACCTATTTCTTGTCAAGTATCAATTAAATTCATGTATTTGGGAATTTGGGCCATAAATAGAGATAACTACTGGGACCTATTGCTACATGTTTCAACTTCTTGGTCCTGTTTTTCAGGCAAAAAACGCTCTTATAAACAAAAATTTAAAAATTGTTTTTTGTTGTAACACTACAAGTCAATCTCCTAAAACTTGCCCCATCTGCACAATGTAAGCTTCAGAGATCAAGCTATACTCAACTTGTGAGAACAAGAAAAGTGGGCGAGACCAATGCCACGACAATTGCATGAATTCAACTTTTGTATTGGTGTTCAGGTTTTCTTTTCCTTCTTTTTCTTTTCTCAACAAAAGGGGTTGACGTTCATAAGGCTAATTGACATTTTTGTTAACCCCACATTCCCAAAAATTCTTGTTCGCTCCTCCCTTTGTATATTTCTTGTAATCGATCTTTTATCTGTATATTAATCATGTTTGTACATGTATGTAAATGTTTTTTTTACGGAGAATGAAATAAATGAAATGAAATGACACATATATATGCAGCTTGTAAAATAATTGAACTGCGTGATCTATTAGCAGGCTCAACTCGTTTCATTTTCAAATAATACCATTTACTTCTAGTCCTTGCTTACTTTGCAAATGTCTGGACTTCACAGTACTGTTGACATTCAGGTACATGAGCCCAAGTAGGATGAAGAAAAAGCAGACACTCCCAACAAGCACTTTGGAAACAAAATGGCAATACTTAGTTCTCCAGCTCGAAACAAGATTCTCTTCCGTAGCAAATATCTGAGCCTCATCTACCGGCGGTTCTCTGAGTGGAGTTTGAGCATAGCTCTCTGACAAATTTTCATTGGGTGCCGGTGTAGAGTATTCTCGTCTGGAGCTGCTACTGGTGGGGGGTGTTGGTGTTTGCCCATGAAACGATGTGTGGTTGCTAGATGACGCATCCAATGCGGAACCTCTCAAAGAAGGTCTACCACTGATAGGGGTTGCTGCAGCACTTGCTCGGGCATCCTGTCGTGATGAGTTCCCAGGGTTGACAGAGTAGTAGGTTAAGGTGGTGTTATCTCTGCTGGTGCTAGATTTCCTGGGAGTCGATGTGCGAGATGAATTGAAGGGAGAAGTGAAGAACGTCCAGTTCGATGATGTATTTTCATCATTGTCCTTGGATCTTGAACTTGAAGCATTTGATGCAACTTGAGATGGAGAATCACGATCACTCCTTGACGTATTCCGAGGTGCAAGGAAATTCCATCTTCCTCTCCTGCTGTCTTCCTTTCCTGATCTATCTTTTGAAGAATCAACAACATAAGTGTTCCTTTTCCCTGAATTATCACTTGCAGAGTCATCTTCATCTTCTTCAGCATTCTCATCATCATCCTCCTCATCCTCCTCATCATTAGCAGACGCACTAGGTTTCGGTTTATCTTTGGAAACCTTAAAAGGATCAGAAGTTCTTGCAACAATTGGATGTTTCTTTGACTTTGTTCTTGTTTTTACAACTCTTCGATGCAACACTTCCTCATCAGAGTCTGTGAACTCCCCTCTTCCATTAACTCTGTTTGCATTGCTGTCCCCTTCTCCTCTGTCTTCCTTGATTGATCTTCTCCCACTCTTTACAGTTCTTGACTTTGGAACAGTGTCGGTTGGATGCACACCAAGCAAATATTTCTCATTCCGATAATCATGTCCCCTGACAGAGTCACTTTTCTCACTCCCATCATCATTGATGTCATCCTCGCCGTCATCGTTGTTTGTGGCTACTGCCAATGATTTCCTCGAGCTCGTCTTCCGTGCAGATTTCGAATTATTAGCTGGCAATGACAACCGCTTTGTTGCTTTGGGCGCTGGCCGCGGAGCCCGTGCACCACTACGGCGTCTGGTCGCACTGACCGGGGCAGTTCCCCTGGAATTTCCCACAGCCTCTCCTTCGCTTTCATCCGAGCTCAATGCAAATATCTTAGGCGTTGAAATCTTGTGGGGAGCTGATTTTCCAGAAATGTTCTTTTTCTCACTTCTCAGTTTGTCGAGCTTCTTTAGAAGCAAAGATCGAGTGGTTCCTGTTATCGGACCAGGCTTGTATCCATACAATACCAGCTCATCTCTGAGCTGACTGTCGGTCAACGGAGATCCCCTTGCCGCCATTTTGAGCGTCAGGTCACAGAGAAAAAGTCATTTGGGGTCGCGCGTCACGGAACTCGGCGTCTGCTATTGTGGAAGTAGTCTAGTAACTAAACTCGTAGTTATTATTAGTTTTCTTTAGCGATAAAATAAAAAAATTATGATTTCCATGATTTCCATTGAAATAGTTTCATCCTTATTCATCACTTTCATTGTAAAATGGAGTGATGATGTTATAATTGTTGTTAATGATTAGCTTTCATACGATAATATAATCTGGTAAAGTCTATTGGGTATGTAGATTCAGACTACGTGATGCAAGGCCAGACAGGCCAGGCGAGTTGAAGTGCATCATAGTTTGTCACTGTCTGCAGCTGCCATAATAAACCAAATACATGTTTATTCTCAAGTATCATTTTTATTTCGCTTGTTATTTTTTGCTCATTGTCCATCATTGTTATTTTTATTCACACTTCAAATGGATTGGATTGGTCTGATTTAACCTTGGGCGGTAGGGGAAGATGTCCCCCACTTCACCTCCTTCCATTTGCAGACACACATTATTCTCTCTCTCTCTCTCTCTCTCTCTCTCTCTCTCTCTCTCTCTCTCTCTCTCTCTCTCTCTCTCTCTCTCTCTCCCATCTCTCTCTAATTTCACAGGAACAACATATAATTGACAATCATAAGCATGCTCTCCATCTTGCTTTTTTCTTGCTTTGGTCATCCTCTCAATATCCCCTCTATTCATTTTGTCATCATCAATAATTTTATCCCTTCTCCACCAAGTTCACCTCCCTATGTTTTGATAACCCCTTCACATCACCCCCTCAGGCTGTGGAAGGGGTTGTCCTCCTCCCAAGGTACGTTTTATTTTTCCATTTTTATACCGGAAAATCAAGTTTTAGTTGCAGGGGCGACAAAACGTCTTTCGAAGTGGGAGGGGGCACTAACAGAAAGTGAGCTTTGGTGAAATTTTACAAAATATTGCTCTCAGTTGCTTTAAATTAGAGGGGAACATGTTCCTCTGGAGAAGGAAAGGGTAGCAATATGTCTCGTCATAGCACATGTAGCAATGATTTCTTTTTTCTTCAACATGATCGTGTTTGTTTTTGTAATGTTTTTGCATCTGCTTTGAATTTTGAAACTCTTACCAGATTTGTAAAGGGGTACTTATAACAATTGAAAAGGCCAAGGGTTCTCATTAGAAAGAAAGATGGCACTCATCACAAAAAAGGAGCACTTTTCACAAGTATAAATGGGCACATATAAGAGGTAGAACTGTCAAGTTATTAAAGGCGTAAAGGGCCACTTATTGTAGGTGGAAAAAAGCTCACTAGTAAGAAAGGGGAACTTATCCGAAATAAAAAAGTGCACTTCCCAGGTTTGGAAAAACCCACCTTGTTTTAGAGGTGAAAAGGGCATTAATTAGAAAGCAACGATTGCATTTACCAAATGCAAAAAGGGGTACATATCGGTATGGAAAAGAGCACTCATTATAAAAGAAAGGGACAGTGATCAGATTTGAGTAGGGGAACTTAGTTATTAGAGGTGAAAATGGGCACTTCTGGGGAGCTGACTTGAATGGCCCATCAGCAATTTCAATGCAATCGACGCACCACTCATTTTTTTCCCTTCTTATTCTGTTTTCCATGCAGATCTCTAGGGGGCAGGGACGCGCGCCCCTTTAGTTACGGCTTTAGTTACGGGTCTGCCATACATCTTCTTTCTGTCTTTCTGATATTGGTCATGTTGGTCTACCCATTCCCCACATTTCTATTTCTCTAGCTCTCTTGTAATTTGTTCACCTCCTCCTCGCCCTTCTCCTTTTCCATCTTTCTCTTGCCATTTCTCAGTTGTCGCCCCTTTTGTGTTTCCTCCTCACGCTTACTTTCTCTTGCATAAATCCCTTCTACACATTTTCTTTTCCCCTTTTGCTTTTGTCATGGGTCATCCCTTCTTGACCATCCTCTCAGTACTGGTCATTCCCTTTTAATCTTACCCTGCCTCTCATTTTAGTTACCCCCCCCCCTTTTTTTTTCTTCTTCATTCTATCTCTCTTGTATTAGTCCCCCCCCCCCTTCCAATCTTCCCCTTTCTCTATTTCATTAGTCATATTCCCTTCCGATCTTATTTTTCTCTCTCTTTTGTATTAATCATCCCTTCGTGATGTTCCTCCTTGTCCCTCTCCTTTACCTTGGTCAGCCCTCCTGACACCCCTCCCCTCTCTTCCTCTCACTCTCTCTCTCTCTCTCAAAATACCTTGACAAAATAACATTTTTCAATATCCAACAAGTGTATAATCACAACAGTACTTTTTTTTATTATTATTGATGAACATTACAATAGAAACAAACATACATACATACATGTACATAATTATAGAGGTTGATAAATACTAAATGGGCCGCACAATGTAGGTTACCTATGATCGGCAAGTTTGGAGTACAAAAAATAATATACACAAAAACTATTACTTTTGGCTGCATCTATGAAGAAAAAAAATATGTGAAGAAAAAAAAAACGAAGCAGCAGGTCTTTCCATAAAAAAGATGAAAACTATACATAATGATCATAACTATGTAATTTAACTGAAAATGTTATATCTTACAAGTCTTCTTTTACAAGATGTACACGCTAAAGATAATATCTGTTTTTATTTTGAATACAAGTCACATATTTTATTTCTGACGAATACTATATGGTTCTACTTCTATAATAGGCATGATGTCTTATACTGTATGAGCACACCAATCAAGCAACATCTTATCTGTTACTATCTCTCTTTTACATATATTACCCAGTCAGAAATGCATCCAAGTGTCTTTCAAACCATTCCACAAACTGGCATGAAGTGCCCTAAAGAGTATCTGAGGGCAACACCCACTGCCCAATAGCTATTTTTAATAATTTTGAATGATCAAAGTGCAATTCGGCCAGTCTGCCAGCTACTCGAGTAATATTTTCATCCAAGTTTCCCTCATGTTCATTGCCAGGGTACTATTTAAAGGAGACATTTTGCTGAAATCTTATCAAAAGCTGATGTATCTAATAACTAGTAAGAATACTTAAAGAAATGCTAATGATATTCTCCATAATCAAAAGATCAGCAGCTTAAACCTGTGATCTTCTTGTACTTCTCTCATACCACTTTCTACTTTGTGAGATAATCACAGATATTTGTTTGTATCGTCTGAATCGTCATGATACTAGTTATCACAACATAAATCTCTTACTTTTATCTTTAGGTCCTTTGCACTATGCACTTGAACAAAATGACCATCTTCATGGATCCATAGCTCATGCTCTTTTTCTTTCTCATGGACCAAAAAATGCAGGAATTGAATATATCTTGCAAGTATCGCTCAGAAATCTATTTTCTCTGAGTTTGGGCACTCATAATGAATTTATAAAAAAAGAAACAAAATCATAGAAAATCAAAGATCTGCGTAACAGTTGGCTAAAACAAAACTTGGTTTTAAATATATGTACAAGTTGTTTTATCTAAGCACCTTGTGATTCTTATACATAATTCTTTGAAATAAAAAGACAAAATAGTGATGGGGACATATAAACAAGAACCATGTCTCGATAAATACTTCAAATGTCATCAAACACATAATCATGTGTTGTCTTTTTGCATTATGTTTAAAAACACACATAATTCGATCAAATATCCAACTTGCTATCATTATCAAACAGATTACAACAAGAGAAATCTTATGTACAAAAAGTGACATAGAATAATACATTATCTCTGTCAAAACAAGAGTAACTACAAGATAAAAGGGCGTGTCAAAACCAAACAAGAAGTATTTTAAACATTCTCTAGTTCTTATCCAAATAACAGAAAGTGGAAGTGCAAAAGTGCTATAACTCTAGAAAAACCACAAGAAGTATTCATGCTATTAATCCTCATAAGTTATCATCTTAAATCACACAAATACAAACAGACTTGAAGCCCACAGTGACCATCATTATCAGTCAAAGATAAGTGAGCTTAAAGCTCTCCATGAAGAAAATAGCACTGCTTTCTTTTTGTGGATAAAAATCAAGGCTATTAAAACATTTTTGTGTAAAAAAACTCTATGATTAGTAAACAAAGTACTATAAAAAGTAGCTTTGATTGAATCAAGTCAATAGCATTCTAATTTTTAAGTAAACACATGACCTTTTGCTTCTTTTGGCATCAGGAACAGCAGAATATTTCCTCTGCTAAAATATAACTTGAATTCCTGGATTAAACGCAACACCATAATTAAAATATAAAAGGCCTGAATATTTAACTTCCAATTTTGAAATCTGATTACGATTTGTTCAAAAGATTTCACATGACTGATGCTTAATTTGGACTTTTACATAATCAATATTTTTTCTTCTTTTCTTTTAAATGCAACATCAATCAACAGTCAGACACTACAGTGCTTCAATCATTCTTTGTTAGATAGTCAGTACTAGGTTAGATAATCTTATTTTTTACGGGAATACTATTCCATGATTTGTCAAGCAGTCCGAGCACCCATAACCAACTTTATAATGCTCTCACATAGAAATATTTCAAATCCATGCTCATTTTTCATAGATCAATAATGTATGATAAATCTTGATTACGAACATAAGCTCAAGCTATTTATTCTAGATTGTGTGATTAACTTTCATCATTTTCTATCTTTTCTTTAATGTATATAAAATAGAAGTCTCAAATTTTTTTATTTTTTTTTAGAACAAATGCAGCAGCGTTCAATCACACTACGTTTCCAACTGCCTGATTCCTCGTATGAGAGCTTTTAAAAATATGACATTTGACATTCAGTTCTTGAAGTCAATGAATCAGTTGAAATGATTTTAACATCTTCTGAGCATCTTCTGTGACATGCTTTGTGTTAACTGTACATGCTATAAGCAAAATTGGATGACCATTACAATTACAATTCAAAGCAGCCACTGTCAGTATTTTGTGTCATATTAATACCAAATCCCTATACTGTGAGGTAACATCAGCTAAAATGATGTTCAGGCTATTCAATATAGTACTTGTCATTCTTCATGAATTCATTTCTATTTAACTAGAGATGAAATAAATGCCGTGACATAGTACAGTTCTCAATATTGAAAAAGTTTAGTACAAGAATCATGTATCAGTACTGCTAGTGATACTAGGTTAACTGGCGAGACTTGCCACAGACTAAGGAGTACTGTTGAAATTCAGGACCAGGAGTTGGCTTGCAAGACCATGCAAAGCGCTAAAACATTCTATCGAGATCACGCAGAAGAAATTATAGATGAAAGATATGGCTACACAGCTGTCTCTAATATTGTACATGATGTTGGATAATTCATACATATCATATTTTCAATTCCTACTATGTACAATATTTCAAATGCCCTCGTATGACAAACAGCATTCACAGTTGTCTTGGAGAGCCTTTAAACCTGAAACGTTAAAAAAAAAATTGTGACTTAAAAAAGAAATTCCTGAACGATAGCAATAGCATCCGTTTCGACATGTTAACTTCAGTCGTTGCCAAATAAAAAAGAAATAAAAACAATGTCATTTAGTTGTAAAGTTGACAACATAATATACAAATAGAAAGGACTATTCCATCTCATTTGCATACAAACGATAATGCAGGAATGAGTTGTGCATCATACTAGTTTGCTTCCTTACTTACAGCAAAAACACTTATTTTCTGATCCCCATGTTCAGAAAATACACTACCACAAGACCTCTGTACTAAGCATGCCTGAACACTTCACCTATCTAACTGTAAAGTAACGGAGAGATGAGACAAAAATATAATATATGACTTCATGTCAATTATACATAAATACATAATGCATAGTGTACAAAATAAGATGAGAGAATTTGCTGATGCAATCATGATGCTATTTGTTTTCATGGGTGATAATTAATGAAAGAACTAAAGGTATCAGAAACATGAACAGCTTGTAGACAACATTGTTCCATCACGTCGACACGTCCAAGTTTTTGTATTCTATCACATCTTTCTTACACCTGTACAGGTATATACATATCAAAAATCAGAAAGTCAATATTGCAAATGACATATCATTTATGCCAAGGAAGTACAGGTAAATGCTAACTAAATGCAGGAAAACCAAAACTTGCCTTTTCCCCCTTCTTCTTATAAGCAAAGGCTTTGAAGAAAAATTGCATCATATTTGATTGAATACAACACCTTTATTTCATGTCAAACCACTGGAAGAATATTTTACAGCTTAGAAACTCTTGTATTTGAATTGGACTTTCAAGTAAAGACTGCCCTCTAGCAATGAAAGCAAGCACAACTACGAACATTGTGACTACTTGAGTCACCCAATGTCATCAAGCTTTAGTTTTCATAGCACAATCGCACATGTATATGGCTTTTACATTTGAAGGAACACATTACTTATTTAATGATCATTAAATAAACAAGTTAAATATAAAACTCACTATAGTACATATCTCAAGGGATGGTCTTGGTATACTATACACATGGCCTGTGAAGCCCGAGCCAGACCTACTAATTTTTATTTTGTTTGACAGTTTGACAAATATATCAAGATCAATAGTGTCTTTCTTTGATGTGAACCATTCAGGTCCTGTACAAAATTAGAGAAAGGAGGCTTTTCTTAAGTCATTATCGTCTCTTTTTCCCTTATCTAAGTGGACTCTTCAGACTGCATGACGAGACTGACGATATCAGGGTACATCATCAAGGCATTGGTTAGATAGAAAGTGGTACCGGGATCCGATGATCAACAGATTTACAGCACGCACAGGATGTTAAGGGGGAACATAGGCAGGTGGTGATTGAAATCGCGTCGTGCTTGGGGCATGAGGATTCCTACTTTCTGGTGGTGATGGTGTTATTGGTGGTGGAGGCTCATAGGGAGGGGATCCCCCTAGATCCACCATGGGCATTGATGGCTTGTTTGGATCATCTTGAGATCTGTGATCACTCATCAGAGGTTGTCTCGTCCCGTCTTCTGCAGAGTATTCTGGTGGTGGTAAAGGTGGCTTCTCATTCTTCATGATCAGTGGTGTCGATGAAGGGTGCTTGTCAGCCTCGTCCAACTCTTCTGTGAATATGATAGGGATTCCTTTGTTGATGAACGTATTCTGGTCCTCGTCTGACAGTTTCCCCTTTCGGTTCCTGCGGTAGAGTATGAACACCACAATACCAGCCAGGATGATGATGAATGCTACTATTACACCAGGAAGGACATTGGTAATCCATGCATCATTAGCTTTTGTATTGCCATCTAAAGGAGGTACGTAAGCCTTGGTGGAAGGAGTTGTAGGTGCTGGAGTGGTAGCATCACATGTGCCTTGAGGAGCTGCCTCAACACCAGAAATGGTGTAATTAGGAGAGAAAGCATCAATAAGGGCTTGAGTTGGCTTGCCATCAGGTGTCACTAGCTTCTTCATGAGTTCTTCTATCAACTCGACAGGACAGGTATCCTTTGGAATGGTATTATTGGTGAAAGAGAGAATGACTGAACCGCGCCGTATGCCGGTTATAGTCAGGGCACTAGCATCAGGATCGCCAAAGATACTGGCTATTCTATTCAGGATATCAAGTTGCAGCTCAGGATTGTTGATAAACTCATCAAAGTCAATATTAATAGTAGCTCCCATGGCAACTGGAGGTGGGTCCTCTTGTACTGCATTGGAATCCAAGACATGAACCTCAAAGGCATCTCGTAATTCAACACCTTCTTTATCTTGAGCTATCATGACGTATGTTTCCACATCGAAAACCTTCTCGGTGTAAGCAAACATTGTCTGCTTTTGCTTGTCAAACTTAAGCCAGAAGTCAGAGCTCAGGAGCGTACCATCTGCATCCACCAGCATCAGTGACAGCTCACGGGTATTACCATCTTCGGGATCCATGTAGGTGTCTGCAGGGACTACAAACACAAAAGGAACTCCTACTATGACATCTATTCTTTCAATAGGGTGGACTATCTCAGGTCCTTTGTTGACATATGGGGTTGCTGGTTTTGGTGTTGTTGGTTCTGGTATAGTGTCTGATGGAGTTGTGACAGGTTTAGTTGGAGTAGGCATGATTACAACTGTTGTAGGTGCCATTGTGTCAACAGGAATGCTTGCAACAGGTGTTGATGTCATTGTAGGCATAACCACTAGGCTCTCTGTAGCTGTCATTGAAGGAACTGGTGGACTGAATGCGCGAGTAGGTGCTTCAGTAGGTACTTCAGTTGTTGCAACAGGTGTTGGTGTAGGAGTTATTACAGATGTTTTGTAGAAAGATGTCTTTGATGCTTTCACTGTTGGGGAGATAGACACCTTCCCAGTTTTGGTTGAAGTTTCTTTGGCAGTCATGGTCATTGGGTCTTGGGTACCTGCTGTTCTGATCATACTGCTTAAAACTGGTGAGCTCTCTGTGGGGATGATGTGAGTAGAAGGGTATACAGTGGAAAGAACTTCTGTAGGTTTAGGTGCACCTGTTGGAAGGGCAGTGGGAACAACGGTTCCCATCAAAGGGGCCTGTCTTCTGACTCTATTCTTGATGATTGGGGTATTACTGCTGACATACCAGCCCTTAATGTCATAGTTCAGTTTTTCAGCCATGGAGCCATCCTTAGAAGCGCCCTCTAAGATGGTAACAACTGGAAGCTGGTCAATATTCCGTCCACAGCCAACCACCCAACTCAGTGACAACCCTTCATGTTTGGCAGTGGCAATATTCCCGCTGCCTGCAGCTAAGGCCTGGTAACCCTTGTTGTCATCCTTCTCTGGGAGAAGCTTGAAGGCAGTCATGGGTATTCTGGAATACTTGGACAACTTGGATACCATATTGATTCTTTCTTGTGGTGTTAATAGTGACCAGTCAGCATCTAGGATGATAGTTGCTCGAACAGCCGGCTTCTCTGGTGGACAAACCACCACTCCATCTTTGTGCTTGGAAGTGGATTCATCTGTGCTCTTTGTATGTGGTGTGTCTTGAGGGAGTACATTGATGCTGAAGACATCCTTTGTGTTAGAACTGTCCTTGGTGAGGTTGGACACCTTTCCTAATGCAGTTACTGAGATGTAGTACTGACGCTGGTCTTCCTTTCCTGGGATTCCCTGAAGTGTATTTGTCTTGTTGCTGAAGTTCAGCCATGATGGAAGCGACTGGGCTCCAACTTCTTTCAACTGTAACAAGAAGAAGAAGAAGAAGAAAAAATAGAACAGAAAATTGATATTAAAAACATGTTATTTTTAAATCAAAATGCTATGGTTTTAACAACCCTAAATAATACAACCCTGGCAAAAGTGCAAGTGTACCACAACTAGAAGTGGTATGCTGCCCTCTGGAGTCCTATCAATACCCAATCCTCTCATATGCCACATATCCCAGGTAATCTATATACCAAATTTCAATGCACCTGCTGGGAGATGTACCGGTATGCAACCCAAGGAAATGGGATTATTTTTGGCATCTTCTGTGTCTATTGTGAAAAGTAACATAATGCGGCCATGATAATCATTTCTTCAATTTGAGAGAAAACAAACACTTCTATGATTAGGAAGGCTATATGCTCTTTGGAATAAAGATAAAACAGAGGAGGGAGAGCAAGAGACAAAGATTTAGGGAGAGAGAGACAGAGAGAAATGAACATAGTCAGAAACATAGCGTGAACAACAAGAAGAGAGAACAGAGAGAGGGAGAGGGGGAGAGAGAGAGGGAGAGAGAGAGAGAGAGAGAGAGAGAGGGGGAGGGGGGGGGTGGGGTGGGGTGTGGCAAGTAGGGAAAACACAGGAGGTGGAAAAGAGAGAAGGAGAGCTAGAGAGCTTGAACGTACAGAGGGTTCAGCATGCAGTTACAACTCCATGGCAGGGTAAAACAAAAAAAGAATGAAACAACTCTACAACTCCTTGGAGAGGAGAGAGAGGGAGCACAGGTGGAATTCATAAAGTCCATCAGCTTTCTGTAAGGTCACGCCAGGGCCACTCCATAAGTTTAGACAGACATGATTCATTGGCGCAGAATGCAAAACTACTCAAAACGTCACATTCCTCATGAAAAACAAGCTGGCCTTCTTCCAGAATGCTGATATTTTGTAATGCTTCTTCCCAAGACTTTATATAAATGACCTTTGACCATGTGTAAGAAATACAAAGAGTTGGCAAAAGTTATTAAAAAAATGCATCCAAATTGTGATGAAGCATTTGGCTACTGGTTGAAATGCATCTTGTGTGGGATTCAACATTCAAAGGACACTTTTTGGAAGAAAAATATTGCTTCTAAACAAAACAGCAAGTCTACATCCCTACTTCAACTCCCCATGTGGGGAAACATTCAAAGATGTGCAAAAGAGAAGAGAAATGACTGTTACATCACATCCTCGAGGGCATTTTCCTTATAGTCTTGCTTGACTGAAATCAAATTTAGATACTCAAACCTCCAAGGTGTAATAGGAACTGTACTAACTATGATACTGTTTTCACACTGGCAATATTTTGCTTAACCCCGTACTATAGGTGGGGTTAAGGGGGGGGGGGGTCTTAGCCCCACCTATAGTACGGGGTTAAGCCTATTCCACTTTCTGTTCAGACTGGTTTTTACCAAAGTGGGCTAAAGTTGGCTAACCCCACCTATAGTACGGGGTTAACTAACCCTGCAAAATAGCAGGGCTAACTCCGCAATTGTGGTGCTAACTCCTGCTAACCCCGCAATTGCGGTGCTAAGCAAATGAATGAGAACAGAAACGAAAAATAGTCCGGTACTACGCAATGGAGCGTATCGCAGCTGGCCAGATGCGAAGTATGTCCAATCATAACATACACGATATCCGGGGTTAACGAAATGCAGTGAGAACAGCGGGAATTTTCTTTTTCCGGAATAGGCGCTAGTACGGGACTAACAAAAGCGTGTGTGAAAAGCCAAAAAAAATAGTCCGGGGTTAAGGATAGTACGGGGCTAAGCAAAGTACGGGGTTAAGCAAAACCAGTGTGAAAAGAGTATGATATACCTTCATAACCACAAAAAAAAAATGCATTTGACATTTGGGTAATATTTCCAAATGAAATACACTGGTCCATCATACACTCATATAATAATTCCAATACTGCTAGGGTAAGCACATCCAACATATTACTAAACAATAACACAACTACCTTAACTACCGGTACATCAAATTTGCAAAACAAGCTTTAAATGCTATTTTCTCCAAAACCTGGAGGAAATTCTATGAACAAGCCATATCGAAGACAAAAACATCTGAAAATCCAGAACACAAGCACGTAATGGTTGAGCACCGATGCTCCAAAATAGGTAAGGATTGAAAAGCACTATCTTCCCTGAAACATTATGCATAATGCAGAAAGCAAAAGCTGATTATTTCATTTATCTATCACAACCTGCCTCACAGTGCCTCAGGGGAAGGTTTAGCATATGGAAGACTGGATTTGATTGGATCAGGTATCATATCTGGATGTACCTTTGAAGAAAATATAAATTCTACTCCCAACTCTATAGTGAGAAAGAAAAGAAAAAAAAATCATGTTTGAGATACAGACCTACATGTACAGTTGAACTAGAAAAACCTTTCCCTGTATAATTCTGGACAATATTTGATTCTGTTAATTTGCCACAACTACAATTACAAGGCATGGCCTTCAATGAAAATTCATTGACAATAGCAGGATAACTGGCAGGAAAAAACACTGCAGAGAAGAGAGTCTCTCCAATAAAATCAAAATATTCTCACGATATTAACCTTCAAGTTTTCAAGGCTGAAGATGTACAATCATTCTCATCATCCTGCTCACTAACTTTCCCTTCATTTCATTTCAAGTGCCCAGCATACATCCACGATCTGCCGCAAACAATGGCCGCCATTGGAGACTGATATTTTCTCCACAATCTGGTAGTTGAGTTACGCTTCCGCGGGATGACAACCACTTTGTCAACACCTAACGACCCTCAACCAAATTAAATTGCGTATTCCAATCCCCCCCCCCCCCTCGTCCTGTTAGTGAAAAGTGACAAGATAGTGCCTTTGACAAGTACACTAACATGTGTAGTTACAAGATTTTGTTATATTCGCAACAAAATCAGTCCTTGTTTGTCAGTCTTTAAGTACGGTTTTGTAATTCAATCTGAACATCTGTGAATAACATTAGATGTTGGATGCCTATACTGGATAAATCTGTGTAGACTCTTGATTCCTGAATTTTGACTGAACTTTATTTCCACATGTGTGGCACATCTGTATTCAGTTTGTAGAAAGAGCGTTCTTTCCCATGTCCATATTACTTTGTGTATAAATGTCGGAAGCAGACTTTCCCAGTGTCATTAGAAAGATTTTCTTCATTTCCGGAGAGCAGGAATGAATAAATAAAATTAAATGTATCCAAAGACAAAGTGTAGTAGATAAAAATAAAAGAAAAGTGATTTTTTTTAATTTTTTTTTGAAAGGGAATTTCATTTTCATCCATTATAATAGTTTAAAATTACTTGAAGGTGGAAGGAGCAATAGGATTTTTAATTTTTTTGATTCACTAGATAATTACTAGATAATTATGTAGGGTATGTGTATGCCCATCCAATGGTTGCAAAAATAACCGAACTATTCGTATTTTACATAGAAAATAGCCTATGGTATTGCAAAAAAATATGCCTACTAAGGCCCTGCACGTTTAAACAAATTGTCCCTTTCCTTCCTCCTTTCATAATCAACTTTTGAAAATCAATTCTCTATTTCACTGAAAATCATAGCACAGTATACTTTCAATGGAATACCCGGCTATTTATGGTTTATTTTGCACAAACATATATGGAAAACCAGCTCCAAATTTAAAACAGGACCAGCTGCTTATGGCAAAGAAAGGGTTAAAGAACTGCACCCTCAACGTAACCCTGCGCTCTCCAGTCTGCTTTGGGTACAAGGAAGACACTATGATGTAGTATTGATCTCTAAGATTTGTCCTGCAGTCGTCCCACCAACTCAGCGTGAGTCAAACCATGGATCTACTACAAACACACTGACTACCAGTATCTTCCACCTTATCCACTTTCGCATGACTCATAGCACTGGGAATGGGCAAAACCTCAATAACAGAAATAGTAATTAAATAATTGGTTTAACTGCTGAAGGGAAAAATATGTTTTCATACGCCTGCCTGAGGCTTGACACTGAGAAGGGAAAATAAAATCCACTGAGAAGGGAAAATAAAATCCCCTTAGGCGACATGGGTTCTCTGCTATTTGTATTAATAATAGTCTATTTTGCGGTAAATTTGTTTGTATTTAACAGATAATGAGAGTTGTTCGCATGAGAAAATTCATGTTTTTTTTAATAACATATTTTCTCTATGAAATTGAAAACAAATTTAAACATGCTTCACTCCCAAATTACTAGTACATCCATGGTTCAAACTACCCCCTCCCATGCAGACTCAATTCATCATTTTCCATTTGATTACTATTCTTTTCTTTTGTCATTGAAATATGATTCAGTATTTAGTTACTGTAAATTGTGGTCGCTAAAAATTCAATTTAATGTTCCCTATATGAACTTGAACTCAACGTTTGCTTTCCTTTTTCTTACTATTATCTATAAATAAAATGGTAAGTGACTTTTATTTTTCCATATCCAGAAAGTGTGTGCCTCCTTTCAGTTTTCTCATCTAAAGTATCAACCAAACATATATGAAAAATTCATCTAATAATTTAAATCACATACCACACAGTTTTTGCTATTAAAGTCCCCCATGGTTACTTAAACATCACATTATAAAAAAACATGGCTGCCCACTTAACATTCAAAGAAAAAATAAAAGCCTAACCATGAATTATATACAACCCAATTTTCGTTGTAACAAGAGAAGATCCATTCCCAGGAGAAAAACACACAAGCGTCCCGTCTATCATAACACCCCCCCCCCCTCCCCCATCTCAACTGATTGGCTGTAAGACCACCATCCCTTTCCAATGGCAATATTCTTGAAAAGAGAAACACTACGACAGGCCAAATATGACATCCTTTTGTTTCATTTCCGAAGGTCGAACGTAAATGAAACCTGGCATGGCTGTTTCATGTAGATGGCATAAAGCGAGGATGGCTATGGTGCATGAAGGAGAGAACGAACGATAGCCTCATAACTGGACTGCTCGCTTTGTGTACATAACGAGCTTGTTTAAATAATGAACAGGAGTTGTGCATAATGATATATTGAATGGGTCAGTAATGAGGAATGAGAAGTGGACATGCTAAGTAGGGTCTTAGCTGGACTTTGATCAAATGAATAAATTAATGTCTTGCATTGATTTATTTCAGTGACAATCTTACTAATCATAAAATGTGAAATGAGTTTGTAACCACCCCTTACTTTCTTTAAAAACTGTTGAACCTCTATGGATAATGCACACATTGAATTTAACATTCACAAACAAACTGCAATATAAAAAATAAAATAAAAAAGCACCCCCCCCCCCCCTCGATCATCTAACCCTACAGTCAATCATTGTATACCGGTATATGTTTGGTTGATTTACTGGAAAAAATGTTAATCCTTTTCAATAACCATGAAACTAACCTCGTCTACAAACTAAAATACCTGAGCTGACTGCCTTTCTACATTCTCTTGCACCTTCAATGAATACCGCTCAGTAATACAGAGTAATTGTAATCTCTTTTACTCCCTAAATGGAAGTTTATAGGAAACAGAAAAGAAAAGGAGAAGTGATACATTTCATGACTAAAGGATTACGAATGCTGACTCCTCGATGTCTACCTACATTCTTAACAAGAAAGGCGTGACATTTACATTTATGAGCAAAATCCTCTTCAGATTAAGACTCTGTAGGATGCAGAGGGGTGTTATTATTAGTACTGTATTTGCACCCCATTCACTAATATTTCCTCTGGTGCTCAGACAGGATTTGTTACCAGTCTTTTCATCCGTATCTCTCCATCAACAAATGAATTGCTATTTAAATCCGATTCCAAATGTGTTTTGTAGTGACGGTAATAAAATTTGAAACTGTGGTAACTACAAGTCTACAACCATCATCTACAAATGTAGCTTTATCTATATTTAGTCTTACCGGTATTATAGTTTGGACAATGTCTGTGTGATTCATACGGATGCATACTACATGTAGTTCTGGGGATGTCAACTCAAAATGCAGTAATAAGAATGGTTGTCTATGGATGTATTGGAACTGGTCCAAGTGGATCACAGCATGAATGGAGTCAACTGGGCTACAGGACCCCAATCCTCCCATTCATTGCCTAAACACTGTTTGGGCTAACAGGGTGAGAGAGCAATAACAACACACCCCATTCATTCAGAGCCTAGACCTGGTCTTGTTAACACTTCTTCCTTTCACTTTCCCTTTCTTTCTCCTTGTGACACAGGATAGCATGATTGAATAAAAGGCAAGGTTTATCAGGGAGGACAACCAGGAATCAATGGGTCGTAATCAATTGGGCTCTGGATTAAGAAAGATCCGTTTGATGGTAGGCTATTGTTTCATTATAGACCATGGGCAAGGGATAACAGGCATTAGGGGATTGTATGAATGAGATGACCAGGTGCGTAACCTCATAGGAATGCAGAATGGAAGCAGGAGTACTACTACTTACATGTATATCACCCAATCTTCAATAAGATCACCAAGAAGAAAAATAAAGCATCAAATATACTTGCTTTACCAACTCTTTACCATGAGAAATATATAGCAATAGGCCTATATAAATACTCAAGAAGACTTCCTTGGACTGAAGGGGGAAATATTTCCAGTGACAACAACCTCACCTAAACCTTCACCACTCCATTTTAAATTTCTTAAAAAGGAAGGAAACACACCATATTGTAACAATGTGCAATTTTAGATTTAGGCTATGCCTTTCACTAGTTCAAAGCTACATGTAAAAGTCCAAATATAAAATAAAATGTAGGAGCTAAAATTCAAGGAAGAGGAAGAAGTAAACATATCCACTCTCATATTCATTTGATAGTCAACTCAACTTTCAAGGGAATGGTAAGATTGCATTTCCGACGAGGGTGTCCCCGAGCGACATTGATCATGTCAGTCCCAATCCCATGAAGAGAAAGCATTCAAGCAGCAAACCCTTCCAGAAGCCAAACCATTAAACTCTACCATAGCACTATCTTAAAGGCATCGTTTAACAATGTTAAATCTGAGACACACAGCCCTACGTGTTATCAGTGCCTGTGATATGGTGTAATATTGAAGCCCTAACAAAATTGCGCTTCAAAATGATCAAGAAGTGCTTCCAAAAAATCTTTGAGTGACTGGTTTTACTATTCCCATTTTCCCTTGTAAACTGTAGTGTTATGAAAACTGTTAGGAAAACGCAAAATTTTATTTTGATTTCAAATCATAAATATCTTGATAATCAGACAGTCAATCTGCTTTTAAAAGTCATGGGGTTCCTGACTGACCTTAACTAGGTTTATAATTATCATTGCAGCATTAGCTACGTCCAAGATTTTTTTTCAGAATCTGAGACAAAGTTACCGGATCCCTTTAACCCCCTTCCCTTAGGCATACCACATCAATCCTCCACAACTAGCATCTCATCTCTGGTTCTGCAATATCACAGGTGCATCGTTATCGGTAATAGAATGATTGCCAAACTGCTGCATCAAGTCAGCAAATACAAATGGAAGTACCACTATATACAACCAAGCAAAGGAACTATTGGAATTGAGATGGTGAAAACATATTGCCCAATCAAAGATGCATTGAGATCAATTCACCAGTCTGTATTGGCAGGGTCCAACTATCATACAATCGAAACTGAAATAAGTTTGGCTGTTGTATACACTGACGGATGCTGGTGCATTTCCTGTTGTTTTACATACAGAAATATTTGTTTTTTGAAACATTGGCATCAATAACACATTATCCAAATGGAGCACTGTAATATTTAAGAGCCAAGTAAATCTCCTTGGTACATTTCTTATGGTATCAGGCTTCACCTTCTTTAAAATATTGCATTCTAAATTTCAAACATTATATGTATCTATAGGCCTACGGTTTATCAGCAAAGATAAATCAGAAGACCCCCAAATTGGCAACTCTCCAGACCTGACTCCCGTCTTATACAAAGGTGTAATTGTTTTAGATTGACCGCAAATCTTATAATATCTTTATTCAATTTCAAGTACAGAGTTATGATTGATATCAAGCATCTCAACTGTTCTTCACAATACTCACCATGTACTTATCTACGTCTCCCCTGAAAGCCTCTTTGGGTATCTTATGACTGAACGCCACTCCCACCGTTGCCGTGGTATCGGGTATACCCCACCCCGGTGATACTGGTTTCCAGACTCCAAAGCTGGGCTCCAGCGCATCGGATTCGTCTCCAAGATTGTCTCTGCTTTGGGGTTCATACCAATCCCTATACACGCCGTTAATTTCTTGGGCTTGTCCAAGGGATACAAGCATTACTGCTAGTACGGTAAACATCACTAGTACTGTTAAACATGTGTGTGGTCCTGAGTGAGACTCCATCTTGTCTGATTTTCTCTGTTCACCTCCTCCTCTCGAACAACAATAATTCCAGCTTGAGTTGTAATAATTCCTTCTATAACACCTCTTACGGAGAGATCAGCGAGCAAACAATAAAAAGTTCTGTGTTTGCCTTCCTTCTTATGCCCAATGTTAAGAAGTACCCCAAAAAAGCTCTGGATTCAGTGAGCTGCAAAACAACTTTAACAAGTCAATGCTAATCCTCTTTTCCCCCTCCTCTTCTTCTTCCAATTATTTCCTTCTCCGATGGAGCACGGAAATACAACAAAGCTTTCTTGTTCCCAAGTACCCTCCAAAGTGAACAGAAGCGAAGAGAGAAGTTGTAGGAGAATATCTGGGGGACTGTTTTCCCAGCTGTCGGAACACTGTTTATGTCACCTCATTTACAGAGGGAAGATGGAGATGGATGAGGGGTAGTCCTTGCTGTGAAGTTCTTGGGAAATAGTTCTTGTCTTGATCAGACCTCTGTCACTGGTCACCTTGGTGTCTGCTGGGCATTGTTGTGCTGCTGGTCAGTACTGGTCAGGTTGCAGGACTCTGATGTTCCTCACCTGTAACAAGATCAAAGAAAGATAAACAAATATGTTTAAATCTGTTTTTTAAATTCATATATGAATAAAACAAAAAATGTACACAGAAATACTATCTGCTCAGAAGTATCCCTTTTAAGAGGGAAAAAAAAATAATTCAGGGAATAAATAGTTATACCTTGAAAGCTGTATCCATTCATTATGAAGCCTGAAACAGAGTTTATGATAAAAACAGATCAATATCTGGGAAAAATGATGTCACACTGCTCAGTATTTCCACGAAAGCATTGATCTTCATATTGCTAATACGGACGAACCATGATCAAATGAATTCTACCCCAGTAGCTCTAAAATAGATCTTCGTCCACTGACTCACAGCTCAGCTAATGACCATGAACAATACAGCTGAACAAGACTTCAAAGCTTCTGAAAGGAAAGTGGAAAGACCCTGCGTAGACGGATACGCTCTGCTGAACAACCAATGTCTTGTTGGCAATCAATACGCCTACTATTCTTGAGCCATGGAATCACAAATGGGGGCACTCATGATCCCCCAGTCAAACATGCATGTCTGCCTATTTTGTGTTTTCTTTTCTTCTTGTCTACAAACACCAATTAAAGTCATTGGTGGACTAATTTAACAGTAACAATCTACAATGGAGGGCTGTGGATAAACTGGTTCAGTTTACTTCAGTGCTGGTAACGCTAAAGATGGAATTAAGAAGGGGTCTATTACCAGAGACTCACACATCAAAGACTGTGCATACAGGACAAATGGGAGGGGGGAATTCAGTATTCTGTTGTGAGGGGGTGGAACTTGTAGTGCTGCTATGTAGTGACAGCAAGATGAAAACCCTATTTCCAGATGGAAAATAGGAGCATCTTTGAAAGAGGTACATTGTTACACTTCTTCTCCATGTTGGGGGTGGTCTATGCAGACAACCAGAATGTGAACAGAGAGGTAGGGGGAGGGGTATGAATGAATACATCCATTGTTGTATCAACACATTGTTCCCTTTGCATGCACTCAAGGGCCTCTTTTGTCCTAAGGAATTTCCCACCTCTCTATGAGATAATCCAGTTCAGGTAGTGCTATTGTGGGCTCACATGAATGAATGAAGCAAGGAAATGAAGAGAGTGGGGAAATGGTTCTAAGTTGAGAATAGTTAAATGCACACCATTGTAAGACAAAGTTTTACTACAATGTATAATGCAGTTGACCAGAAGAACCTAAGACCATCTAACCAAACCATTGAGAACATCACAACATCTATGCCTTGGAGACCATGCAACACCTCAAAGTGTATCATACTCATGGCGATGCAATACAATAAATTCAGCCTTACTCAGGCGAACAGCAATAAAAAGTCATCGGAGGTATCTCACTAATGACAAGATAATTGTTACCTCATTTATCAATCAACCAGAATAGTCCCGTGACATCTAGGTACATTCCTGCCCTTACCACGAATGACCCAACCATCTTTAAGGATACCGTAGAAAGATGCAATGGCCACAGACTTAACCATGTAATTAACAGGTAAATATGCTTCAGAACGGGTCAATTACATTTTCCATTAATGATGGTTAACAAGAAAAGAAAAAAAAAATGAAAAAAAGTCAATATTAATTCAGAAAGGGTGATTGATTGGAACAACGTAAATCAATTGCTGCAGTGTGTGATAAATGTGAAGATTAATTGCCCCGTTGGCTTCCTGACAAGGCTATTAAAGACAAATGTCGCACTAATGAGAAGATTACGAGTGAATACCATGACCTTTACACGCACTCTTCTGAACCAAGTATGTATGTATGAATGAGGGAACGTGACTAGCCGACTAACACTCCTCAGATTTTATCAAGAATCTTGTACGGCTATCTTTCCAAAAAAATATACCCTAGAAATATATCACTACCGGTACTATTTGCCTGCATGTCTTTCTTCCTTTCCCACAAATCCATCCTACATCTGCACATAGAGTAGGTCCATGGGGTGCAAGTTGGTTCAAATTCTTGAAGCAGACTTCCGAAACTAGCACAGATTGTTTTTCTCTTGTAGAAGCCACAACACACACAAACACAGACCGGTATCACTTCCCAGTGTTTCATTTCTTGACAAACACTTCGTCGGCCGCATCTCACACCTGACTCTCGACTCCTTTCTGTCACCTCGCTTTTCAGCTCATCTTCAGCTCCCACGCCACGACCAACCGACCGCAATTCCTCAGTCCACTTCCATTTCTTGATATTACACCTCTCCACCAAATGACAACATGACTATTTATTGCCTCCCAATATAGCTCTCTCTCTCTCTCTCTCTCTCACTTTAAAGAATAAAAGCCAGCCAATAAACTACTTCAATCGTGTGACCACTACCATATTGATTCTTGTTCTAGTGTCGTCTAAATACACATTGTGGTGGAATCGATTGTGTGCCATTGTGGGGGCAGCCTGATATTATACATAGTGACCCTAGTACAACACAGATATGGACCGGAGAGACTCCTACACAAAAGAAACATATTCATGAATCACTTTGCATTTCCTCGGAATGTTATTTAGATGAATTGATTTCCATCAACATGAAAACATGTTTTGGCCCATTGATTTTTTTTGCTTAACAAAGTACTTAATTGAAACGTGACTCACAAAGCAGATACCAGCATGCCGAACTAACACTACCGGTAACTAACAAGGGAACAAGGAAATTTGGATAAATCTAGAACAGACAGTCTGTGAATATCCATATCATAAACAGCTAGTAAAATAAAATATCTTAAATTGGAATCTCTCCATGATGTTATTGATGCAGTAACTCAGGGATGAAATATCCCTACTCAATGTTCACTAGACCCTACAAACAGTCCCCATTATAAAAGAAAATGAAAATTGTAAGGAATGAACTTGATTTGAACTATGAATAGTCGAACACACACACACAAACACACCCTCTCTGAACTATTCCAATCTACCTTAATAGCATTAGAGCTTTTAAAGTTGATACTCTAAGCAAATAAATGTCCCTTAATTTGTTACCTACGGCAAGTATATGTTATTTTTAAGTTTTTCAATTACTTAGTATATCACAAAAAAATTCCGTCTACTCGAAATCCTCAATTGAAATGTCTAAAATATCCGCCTCTCTTTGCATAGAAAATCAGTCACGACGCTGGTCTACTATTTATGACCTCACGTCCGGGAGAGAGTATATTCACGTACCCGGATGTTCCATAGCAAACATGTGCAGAGTGATACGATTTTCTGCATATTTTTGTTTCAAAGGCTGAAAAGTCTAATAAATCATAATTCTATGTACAATTCTTTACCTTCCCCTAGTACTTCATAGTATTAATATCAATTCCCCTTTTAAAAATTATGACATATACATGCCAACGATGTGCTATTAGTCGATATTTTCACCACGTAATTTTTGTTTTGGTGTTGAAATCGGCCCAGGCACGGAGTGAACAGTAGCTGTCTATACCCATGCACAGTTCATTACCATACACTACAGCGATCTCCCGATGGTTTCTTCTTCCTTTTTCCCATGTCTTTCGCCTTCCTTGGCCCTGAACATCCTTCATCTACCAATTATGACACCGGTAGTCAGGAGCAAGTCTTTGTTAGTTGTTTTTCTTAGCTGGCAACGTCGCTTTCATTCTCTTGCAATTGCCGATAAACATATAACTAGCGCACGTACGTTCCATCACAAGCAAGCAGCGCCTAGAGCAGCGGCTTGGTCTTACCTCCCGTTTCCGCTCGCTCCACGAACGTTCGTGCAAGAGCCGCATCACTCGCCAAAATATTATAGAGGAAGCGCGCTTGCATGATCTCGTTCAAGTTTGATATTTTACAACATAAAATGTTTAACTGGTACTGTATCCTTTTTTGAGGCAGTCACACACATCTATGATAAGTACTATCATAGTTCTAGACCTATTCTTTTTACAAAACTGCTCATGTTCATCTGATGACAATATAATGCATCCGCCTATTCATAAGTGCACGATTTAACTTTAATTCCTAAGCAGTAAACTCGTCTTAAATCTCTACCAAATAGGTGAATATGAGGATATAAAAAGAAATCAGCGACTGGAAAATGTTGCTTCGTTATTCTTCATTCAAATGAAAACAGAAAATCCATCAAATATACTCCTTAACAACAACAAATCTAAGCTCTGACAGGATAGCATTTACGTAGGGATATCACTGCCATTCACTCTCACTGAGCCCATGACTCCCGTTCGTGACGTCACGGATAAAGGCCCGACTCTACGTGCACTTCCGGGTTTCAGACTTAGATATGTTGGTAGAGTTTACTCGAATAAATTCATTATTCTAAACTTGTTTTGTCGGGTGGACACCATTTGGTGTTATTATGGGGGTTAAAAGCTTTCTATTTATGTAATTATCTCAGTATTTGGGATTGTCTTAGAGTATCAACTTTAAAAGATGATATGGTTGAGGAAATTGGATCATTTCTACGGGCCTTCCTTCCAGGTTTCTCACACTTCCCTGTACAACCAATTTTCTTGATCTAGATCCTGTAAAGTGATTGCAGCCTGGTAAGATCTACAGACGGTGTGATGACCTATAATGGTGGGAATTCATTTAACCAATCATATCAAATTGAAACAACCTGGTATATAAGTTTGTTTGCTTCTATATGAAAAGAAAATACAGGAAAATTTCTCTTCCCACATATTCTCTTCACAAGACACAATGTTTTTCTTTGTTCAAGAAGTTTAACTCAAAATTGATCAAAACAAAGGTAAGACAACAAGTTACAAAGTCAAAAGATTAATTGGAATACCAAGATACGGTACACAAAATTATTTTAAGAAAACAATGTGAACAGTTAAAGAAAAAAACATTTGAATTCACTTAAAATCATACAAAGCACTGCATTAAAATATCTATTAATCATGCAAGATATGATGATATATTTATTCTTTTGAAATATATTCCAAAGACCAAATATATTGCAAGATCTTAGGGGAAAATAATGGAGACATGACACA